CGTGTAAAGAAATGTGCCAAATGACTAATCAAGCAACAAATTCGAGAACCGTTTCTCCTGAGTTTCTCGTTATCGTTCGATACTCTTTTTGAAACTACTGAGGATCACGTTGCTAGAAAGGACTGATTTATGCTAGGGTACTGCGTGCATACATCGACGAATATAGACGAGATAGCATCAGAAGTCTTAAGCATCGTTCAGGTTTGCAAGAGTGCTAAAGATGACGACAAACGACAACAACAACACCCAGGCGACATGCCATCAGAACTTAATTTCGAATATATCAATATCGCAGAAATAATTGCCGAAGTCACGAAATATCTGACGAATTTATCTTAACAGTATTCATTCACAGAATGTACCATTATTTTTGTATAGTTTCGGAATGGGATTGGTATCTCAGCTGACGATAACAGCGACTTCACACTATGAAACGACATGTAGGAGCTGTCGACAGCTCTAATGATAAGTTACAGCTTTGCGTGATAAATTTAACAGTTCAAGCTTCACGTTCTAGTGTTTCCTATCCAAAGTTTCAACAGCTATTACTTCTTAAATATTGTCGCATAAGCATCGAAGCATTCTTTAATGCATTAAATGGTTCATGCTCCAGGGTACGAATATAAGATGTTTATGCGATAGCTCAGACACTGGCAAGAGATCAGCAACGTTAGAGACACTGTCTCACGCTGCTGCCTCTGTGACTAGAAGAAAAATAACTGGTCATCGAAACCGACTGACCGACGGAATCATGCAACGAATACCAGTTCCCGAAACGTCATTAGCAATGAACGCGAGGTGGAATCAGCACACAAAATAATGAATGATGTATCTAACACTACTGGTGCTCAAATGGAGGTGTGACCTGCTATTGAAAGTTATGCATCATGAAAGAACACAATCAATTATCCATCATCATTAAGGGTACGTTTGTCTTATCTAACTCAATAATCCCAAAAATATAATTCATTGTTGTCATGTTTTTTACTGACATTGCTCAGCCTATGCATTTTGTTACCACAAAGGTTATTTTCGTACTGTACCCGTAACCAACACAGAGGAATCAAGCTCTTGCACAAAAAGAATGTCCGATTTTTAAAGTAATATTATTATTATTGTTTAAAATCAAATGCAGCTTCAAACCTGAAATTCGGGTAGTGCAGGCCT